ACGGGGTACAAGGTTTCAGGGATGAGGGAGTAGGGCTTCGGAGAAACCCTAAAACAAAATCCTGAACCCGAAATCCCTGCAAACTAAAGAACCCTAAATCCCTACGACCCCTTAACACCAAACCATAGCTCAGGCTTCCGAGCTCTTGTTTTTTGTTGCCGAGGCTGCCGCCCGACGACGACGTCTCGCTGGGGCGACGCGCGGGAGGACCTCAGGTGGTTGGTGTGGGGGGGGGGGGGGCTTCAGGGCTGTGCGGTTTAGGGTTGAGGGTGTAGGGTTAGGGTATAGAGTTTAGGGTTAGGGTCTAGGGGTTGAAGGTTTCGGGGCCTGTGGCATCGGGCCCCCAATATCATTAACGAGGCCATCCTCAGCCCCCAATTGCAAGATAGTCAGGCCCTCCTCAGCCCCAATGGCCGGGTGGGCCCTGCATGGGAGAACCGCGAGCAGTCTTTGGAGCCCTCGACCCTAGAAACGCACACGTAATACCCTAAACCCTGTAAGCACCTAAGCCCCCTCAAACCCCTAAAAGACCTCCTAAAACACCTAAAACGCCAACCCTACACCCTAATCCCTAAACCCTAAGCTCTAAACCCTAGACCCTAAACACTAAACGCTCAACCCTAAACCCTAATTGAACCCTAAACCCTAAACCCTAAACCCTAAACCCTAAACCCTAAACCCTAAACCCCAAACCCTAAACCCTAAACCCATCCAACCATGGAAAGCTTGGACTCCGGGCGAGGATGGAAAGCTGGCTGGCGAGCACCACTCGCGGGCCATGGACTCGGCAAGAAGCGTTCTAGGGGCTACGGGGTAGGGGTTTAGGGTTTAGGGTTTAGGGTTTAGGGTTTAGGGTTTAGGGTGTAGGGTTTAGGGTTTAGGGTTTAGGGTTTCGGGTTTAGGGTTTCGGGTTTAGGGTTTAGGGCTGTAGGGTTTGGGGCTTGGGGTTTAGCGCTTTATGGTTCGGGTTTCGGGTTTGGGGTTCAGAGTTTATAGGGTTTAGGGCTTTAGCATTTATGGTTTCGGGTTTCGAGTTTAGGGGCCTAGGGGTTCGGGTTTGGGGCTTAGGGTTTAGGGTTTCGGGTTTGGGGTTCAGGGCTTTAGGGTTTAGGGTTTAGGGTTTCAAGTTTGGGGTTGAGGGCTTTAGGGCTTTAGGGCTTTAGGGCTTTAGGGCTTTAGGGCTTTAGGGCTTCGGGTTTAGGGTTTTGGGGTTCGGGTTTGGGGCTTAGGGATTAGGGTTTCGGGTTTGGGGCTTAGGGCTTTAGGGTTTAGGGTTTGGGGTTTTGGGGTTGAGGGCTTTAGGGCTTTAGGGTTTTTGGGGTTTAGGGTTTCGGGTTTAGGGCTGTAGGGTTTAAGGCTTGAGGGTCTGGGGTTTCGGGTTTAGGGCTTTATGGTTTTGGGCTTGTGGGCCCTCTGGGCTTCGACGGCTTGCAGGGGATTCAGGGGTTTAGGGGTTCCAGGGTGTCTGGTTTAGGGCTCAAACCCTAAACCCTAAACCCTAAACCCTAAACCCTAAACCCTAAACCCTAAACCCTAAACCCTAAACCCTAAACCCTAAACCCTAAACCCTAAACGGTGTTTTGGGGTTTTAGCCCCCTGCCCCCGAAGGGAAGACCCCTCACCGGACTGCACGCTGAGGCTGCGGCAAAGTGCTGCTGGAACAGACCTGCGGGGGAAAGGGTTGAGGGGGTTTAGGGTTTAGGGTTTAGGGTTTAGGGTTTAGGGGTTTAGGGTTTAGGGTTTTAGGGTTTAAGCTTTAGGGTTTTAGGGTTTAGGGTTTCGGGTTTAGGGTTTCGGGTTGAAACTGCAGGTAACCACAGCCTGGGGTGAAGAGCGTGAGGTGTTGCGCCTTGGAGGACTCGCGTTTTTGGATGCTATTCCATGAAGTCTGTGCCTCATCCGTCCTCATGCAGGCGCCCTTGGGGGCTGGCACAGCAAGCAAGCGGTTTGGATGCGTTTCCAATACATTTTCTTGCAGGACTTCTCTAAGTCCATCCAAGCGTCCGGCAACTCATCGCCCCCCAACTTCGTGGAATCTCTTGCTGAAGCCAGAACTGTAGTCGTCAAGGACTTCCTGGACCCATCACCAGGTGGCGAAAGGACTACGACTCACAGGACGTCTGCCTATGGCCGGTGACGTCGTCGCCTCGCTCTCCGTTGACACAGGGGAGGATCTTGATCTTCATGTGAAGTGCAAGCTGCCTTTTGTGTCTGCCGGGGCCTTGGTGGCATACACGGACGTGACCTCGTCTGACTCCAGCCCGGGTCTGCCGTGCCTTGACTGCGTGTGCCCCTGAGAAGAGGAGCCGAAAGTAAAGCCAATCCCCAGCGCTGGCACAAACACCGCCTAAGCCCTGAAACCTAACAAAAAACGCAGCCTAAATGTTAAAACCGTGAAAACCTCTAGGCATAAACCCTAAACCCCTCAAGCCCCTAATGCTAACCCTCGACCCCTCGAGCCCCGCCTCCCACCCTGAATCCTTCGATAGTGCGGGCCCCCATCACCATACCTCGCAAGTAGGATGGTTATACCCTACACCCTATTCCCTAAACCCGTTTGTGAGGTTTCAGCTTGCAGGTACGCTCAACGCCCTCTGCGCACAAGCACCCACATTTAGGGTTTAGGGCTTAGGGCTCAGAGGTTCAGTTTCGGGGTTTAGGGTTTACAGTTTAGGGCTTCGGGTTGTTCCTGGGCGTTTTTGGCCAGGACAATCTCGACTTTTCATTTGGAAAATTTGGTATTCTAGGGTTTGGAACCCCCAAGCCCCTTCAAACCCAACTGGAAACCCCATAAACCCTAAACCCTAAGCACAAAGGTTGAGGGTCAGGGTTTAGTTTTAGGGTTTAGGGTTTAGGGTTTAGGGTTTAGGGTTTAGGGCTTAGGGCTTAGGGCTTAGGGTTTAGGGTTTAGGCTTTAGGCTTTAGGGTTTAGGGTTTAGGGTTTAGGTTTAGGGTTTAGGGTTTAGGCTTTAGGCTTAGTAGGGGTTCTTAAACCCTAACACCCTACAGCCCAGAACCCAGAGGTCGGGGGGTTTCGGGGTCGCCGCCTCGCTGGCTGAGGGCCTCAATTCGTGCGTGCGCCTGGCTGTGGCTCTGCGTTGGAAGGCTCCAGGGGGCCTTTGGGGAGTAGGTCTTAGCCCTAAACCCTAACTCCTGAACAACCCTAAACCCCAAACCCTAATCCTAACCCTAAATCCTACACCCTAAACCCTGAACCCTAAACCCTAAACCCTACCCTGAGGGTTTTGTGTAGCAGGGCTACGGGCTGCTGCGCTGGCGAGAGATCTGAGAGAATCCCTTTGACCCTCAACCTTGAAGGGTTTAGAGTTTAGGGTGTATGGTTTAGGGTTTAGGGTTTAGGGTTTAGGGTTTAGGGTTTAGGGTTTAGGGTTTAGGGTTTAGGGTTTAGGGTTTAGGGTTTAGGCCACTGACTTCCAAGCGGTTCGGGGTTTGGGGCTTCAGGGGTGCTAGGCTTCAGGGATGAAGACCCTAAATTGTAGGAGCTGCATGAACCCCCCACACCCGTCTTTAGTATAGGTTTTCTTGAGCGTTTTGAGGGCTTCGTAGGGTTTAGGGCAGTAACATCCACGCTCTAACAACCACCTGGGAGCCAAGAAGCGTTTAAGCTAAAGGCTACTTGGGCTTTGCAGGGTGGTTGTAGTTATAGGGCTCTTAAGGAAGGAGGGGGTTCAAGGGGGGTATGTTACCCAAGGTTCCCTCTCCCCCCTACTCCCTGCGGCTCCCGAAGCTTGCTAAGGTTTGCTACGTACCTAAACCCCCCCTAACCCTAAACCCTAAACCCTAAACCCTAAACCCTAAACCCTAAACCCTAAACCCTAAACAAAGCAGAAAGAGAACCGCTGGAAGCCCGCCTCCTCGGCGGTCTGCACGTGCGTCGCCTGCCAAGCTCGGTCTGCAACTCGCTGCCTTTGTTGCTACTTTGGTTCTCTTACTCCGGATTTCGGGTTTAGGGTTTAGGGCTTTAGAGTGTGGGTGTTGCGGGTTTGCTACTTTCTGTGTATATCTAGTGGTCTCTCTTTTTGTTTTCTCTAGCGCATACTACTACGTTGTGCTTTGTTTATTGAGTTAGGCTTGTAAACTTCTTAAAGCAGTTGACTAATCCATGTGTTGCTTTGCTTTGTTGTTGACTCGAACTTCTCTTGCTTTCTTGAAAAAAGGGGTGTAGGATCTAGGGTTTGGGGCTTAGGGCGCTTGGGGTTACGAGAGTAAGTCCTAGGGGCTTGGCGTGTAGGGTTTATAAGGCTTAGGGGCTTCGTGGTGTCGAGGTAGAGCCCTCAGCCATAACACCGTGAGGCTCGAAACCTAATCTCTCGGCTTTAGGGGTTTGAGGCATAGGTTCGCTGGGCCTTACTCAACCCTAAACCCTAACACTAAACCCTAAACCCTAAACCCTAAACCCCAAACCCCTAACCCTAAACCCCAAACCCTAAAAATCCAAAAGGGTTTGCTGAGCCTTGCGGCCTCAGAAGAGCCTAGCTGCAAGCGTCCTGGCCTCGGGGAGCTTGGATGGCAGGGGTACAAGCTCCCAGCCGAGCCCGTCCTCCGGTTCTTAGGGTTCTTTTGGGGGTTTTGGGGTTTAGGGTTTTAGGGTTTAGGGTTTTGGGTTTTAGGGTTCTAGGGTTTCTAGGTTTTAGGGTTTGGGGTTTTTAGGGCTTCGGGTTTAGGGTTTAGGGCTTAGGGTTTGGGGTTTAGGGCTCAGGGCTTTCGGGCTTGGGCTTCACAGTTAGGGTTTTAGGGTTTAGGGTTTTTGTGGTTTAGGGTTTAGGGTTTAGGGTTTAGGGTTTAGGGTTTAGGGGTTTAGGGTTTAGGGGTTTAGGGTTTAGGGTTTTTGGATTTTGGGGCTTAGGGCTCGGGGACGAAGTAGGCTTTTTGGGGCCGAACGGGGGTGTTTAAGGTTTGGGGTTTAGAGTGAAGAGAACACAAGCTGGAAGCTCGCGCCTGTAATAATATTAGAGTGTGTGAACGCCGCACTTATTCTATTAGAAAGGGAGCACGAGAACGCACAGGAAAAGAGCAAACTCATAATTTAAAATCATGCGTTCCTTGTGTTTTCAAGAATAAACTGTATGCTCTTTTAGTACGTTCACCATATTCACCCTTGCCAAGCACATGTCTGAGTGAAGATAATAATATACTGTGTATCATTATGGTGAGCTTGCGAACGGGGAAAAGTTCAGGGAATAGGGGTTGAGTGGTTTAGGGTTCACGGTTTAGGGCTCCTGTTTCGGTGGGAGCTGGGGTACCGACAATGAAAACCCTGTCCCAAAGCTAAGCACCCTCCTCCCCCTACCCAGAGAGCCCCAAATGCCCCGAAGATGCCTTAAACCTACTAAACCCCAAACCCCAATGGCAAACGCCAAAAGCTAAAACCCCTAACCCCTACACCCCACCCGTGACCCCATCTCCGAAAAACTCAGGAAAAAAGGCAAGACAAAAACTCAACCCCCTAGAAGCACAAACCCAAACAGTAAACCCCAAACACTCAACCCCCAAACCCTGACCCCAAACCCACCCACCAACAAATCCACACCACCATAGTGCTGGGATGCCCTATAGGGTTTAGGGTTTAGGGTTTAGGGTTTAGGGTTTAGGGTTTAGGGTTTAGGGTTTAGGGTTTAGGGTTTAGGGTTTAGGGTTTAGGGTTTAGGGTTTAGGGTCCTCAGCAAGGCGGCCGGTGAGTCGGAGCCTGGACTACTGGGGGAACTGCGGGGGTGATCGACATTAGGTGCCTCTTTAAGGGCCTAGGGTGTAAGGTTTGGGGTCTAGGGTCTTGGCTGTAGGGTTCGGGTTTAGATAGGGTTTGGCTCAAGGGGTCAGGGCTTAAGGTCTGGGGTTTAGGGTTTAGGCCGTAGAGTCGAGGGTTTAATTAGGACTTGGGGCTTGAGGGCTTCATTCAGAGGGCTTACGCTACGATGGGCTATCAACTGAAGGCGACGTGAGTCCCTTGGCAGCTTAGTGTTAGGGTTTAGGAAATTCTGGTTTCCCCCGCCCCCGCTTGTGGGTTGTGGGTTTAGGGATGGGTATCCAAAGGGGGGATATGGGGAGTGGTTCCTTGAAATTGCTTGCCATCTTCTGTGCCAACATGGTCTGCAATAGAAGGACAGTGAGGACGTCGTGCCGGGCGTTGAAGTCTGCGAAGTCATATCACTGTAAAAGAAAGTCTTGTCTCGGCTAGCGCGATCCTGCGACGCCATGCTAACTCTGCGAACGCACTCATCGATGGTCTGTGCGGATGAGTACTTGTCATCAGCGTCGTAGACGCCTGAAATTCTTAGAGCTAGCATGCTTTGGACCAGGTACTTCATCAGATCAGCTGCGAAGAGCAACCGCGCTTTCCCGTTTTCGTATTTCGTCGCTGAATGGATCAAGTGCGCAATCCAGGCAAGGCTTCCACCAGCAATCCTCCAGGCAGAGCATCAACGACTTTTGATGTCGGGTCCTCCAATGTGCCACATTCTGACAACCTGCTTCAAGGGTTGAGGGCTTAGAGGGTTCTTGAGCTTAAGGTTTAAGGTGTTCGTTTGAGGGTTTAGGGTGTTAAGGTTTGAGGGGCTTGAAGGGTCTGGAGTTTGAACTGAAAATGCCCCATACAAATTTAGGCAAAACAAGCAGTTCGCAGTGGGTGGAGGTGGCATGTAGCTCTGAGGACGTCCAAGGCCAAAGGTTTATTTTAGTGTAAGAGTGTTCTGCCCCTTCCCTGAACCCTAAACCCCAAACCCTGAAACCCTAAATCCTAAACCGTGAACTCCAAGCTCTGCGGCCCGACGTACACAAAAGCCAGCTTGAAGCCTTAAGGATTTTGTGAACATTCTTATTTAGGTTCTATGGGCTTTAGGGGGCTTAGCCTTTTAGGGTTGACGGTTTTACGGATTTGGGTTAGAGCTTCAGGGGTTTCGGGTTTAAGGGATTTGGGGTTCAAGTTTGACGGCTCAGCAAAAAAGCCCGGACCACCAAACACCCTGAACCCTAAACCTTAAACTCTGAACCCCAGTCATATACCTTTAAATGCTTTAAACCATCAACCCCTCTGAAACTCGGGCATCTGGTGGTGGTGCTCCAGGAGGGCTGGCCGGTGGCCTCAGCGAGTGCGAAACTTGGGAATATAAGGGGTTTAGCTTTAGGCTTTCGGGTTTATGCAGGGGAAGAAGGGGGGGGGTTCATTTAGGGTGTAGAGTTGAAGCGCTATTTCAAGGTAGCAACCTTCATCTACGGAAAAAAAGCCGTGAACCCTGCACCTTGCATAGAAGCACCCATGGGCCTTCAAGCAGACCCTAAACCATTAGTTGCTTAAGAACCCCAAAAAAACACAAAAAAAATATTCCTGTATAAGGGTAATACGGGGATTTTGTTTTTTTTCGTTTGGGGTTCTTAATTAAGCAAATAGTAGTAAACCCTGGCCTGATTGGAACTGCTTGGAGATTACAGGTTTAGGGTTTGGGGTTTGGGGCTTTAACCCACAAAGCCCAAAACCCAAAGACCTCAAACCCTAAACTCAAGACCTAAAGACCAAAACCTAAACTCCAAACCCCAAACCACGGACCTTGAACCCCAAACCATAGAGCTCGGCCTAACCTCCTGCAAAAAGGGGTGTAGGGTTCAGGGTTTCGGGTTTAGGGTTCCATAACCCTAAACCCTAAACCCTAAACCCTAAACCCTAAGCCCTAAGCCCTAAACCCTAAACCCTAAACCCTAAACCCCAAACCCCAAACCCTAGACAGAACGGAGCGGCTGATGGTCACGTAGGTGATGCCCAGCTCGTTCGCGACCTGAGGCCGGGGGATGGGCAAAAGGATGTTAGGGGTTGGGTTTGTATAAGGTTGTTTAGGGTTTAGGGTTTAGGGTTTAGGGTTTAGGGTTTAGGGTTTAGGGTTTAGGGGGTTTAAGGATTTGGGTTTAGGGCGGGGGGGGGGGGGAGAGAGTTAGGGCTTCAGGGTTTCGGAGTTACGGTTTGAAGGGTTTTAGTGTTTCTGTGCTTGTTTCTCAAGGAGGCCTGGGGCTTAGGGCTTTGGGCTTAGTGGCCTGGAGCATTAGGGGGAGTAAAGGGCTCTAGGGTTTGGGGTTTAGGGTTTAGGGTGGGACACTGTAGGATTTTTTAAGGGCTGAGGGCTTAGGATGTAAGGTTTAGGGGGTTGTTTAAGGGATAATACTTTGGTTTTTAGGGCTTGGGATTTCGGTTCAGTTGGAAGCCCAAACCCTAAACCCTAAACCCTAAACCCTAAACCCTAAACCCTAAACCCTAAACCCTAAACCCTAAACTCCGAAGCCCAAAGCTCCTAACCACATTTCGTGGGGCTTAGGGTTCAAATTTAGGGTTTGGACCCAAGCAAGCCCAGATGCTAAAGCTTCGTCATGACTGTACGGTTTTGTGGCTTAGGGCGCTCAGAGCTTTGTGATGCAGAGGATAGCAGGTTTAGAGGCTTCAAGTTTTTGCATCGCTTCTCTGAAAGTTCTAAGCCCTAAGCCTAAGCCCTATGCACGATCTGTAGGTTGCCGTGTGGGACTGTCGGCCGTCAAGACAGACGCGGCGCTCGCGAAGGGCCCTCTCCGGGAACGAGCTCACTGTCGTCCTTCTCGGAGGCGTTGCCTTTCCCTCACGCCCTCCCCCTTGTCATAGAGGAATGCCATCCTCCATAGCCGCTTCTTCTTCTTCTTCTTCGGGCGTAAAGTAAAGGAACCCCCGTGTTTCTTCTTAGTGAGTCGGTTTCCCGTCTCCGCCGCCAAGCCAGGCCAAGAACCCCATTTGCTTGGGTAGGACACGCCCGAAACCCTAAACCCTAAACCCCTAGACCCCTAAACCCCTAAACCCCTAAACCCCTAAAACCCTAAACCCCTAAACCCCTAAACTCTGAACCCTAAATCCTAAACCCCAAACCCTAAACCCTGAACCCCGAAGCCCCAAAGCTGAGGTGGCCACAGCTTCGGCATCCCAACTCCCTTCAGCCAGCCCGGAGTTCCCGAAATGCAAAAAAGCCGCAAACACGAAACCCGGCTTGGAACCTTCATACAATACCAAGGATTTAGGGTTTAGGGTTTAGGGTTTAGGGTTTAGGGTTTAGGGTTTAGGGTTTAGGGTTTAGGGTTTAGGGTTTAGGGTTTATGGTTTAGGGTTTAGGGTTTAGGGTTCCGGGCTTATGAAGGCCTGGGGCTCATTTTGGGCTTTAGGGCTAGGGCGTACAAGCCCTGAAACCAAGCCTTGGCCCATGAAGACCTTGAAACCCGAAACCCTAAACCCCCATCACATCGGCCGCGGGCGTGGAACAGCCAGTGCTCGAGGTCCTTGGAGACCTGGTCTCCAAGGGTTTAGGGTTTAGGGTTTAGGGTTTAGGGTTTAGGGTTTAGGGTTTAGGGTTTAGGGTTTAGGGTTTAGGGTTTAGGGTTTAGGGTTTAGGGTTTAGGGTGTAGCATTGATCAGCTGTACGCAGTTGTGTGCAGACATGCCCACCCCAAGACCGCCCGAACACTACTCAAAACGAGCCAAGCCAGAGCCAGCCAAACCAAAGCCAGCCCGCATCCAAACACTTCTGCACTCAGGCTTGTTGCTATAAACACGCCTTATGAAAGTCATGTCTAGAAGCTTGCGAGAGCCAAATTAACGTTTGCGTTGGGGGGTGTCTTCGGCCGGAATGGAGGGCCTTCTCATCGTTTCTATTCTCGACGTCGGGATGTCATGGTGTTACAGGAAACAGGCTTTGTGAAAGTAATGTCTAGAAGTAGAAGCTCACCAGAACCAAATCAGCGTTTGCGTTGGGGGGCGTCTTCGGCCGGAGGGCCTTCTCATTGTTTCTATTCTCGACGTCGAGATGTCATGGTGTTACTATAAACAGGCCTTGTGAAAGTCATGTCTAGAAGCTCACCAGCGCCAAATCAGCGTTTGCGTTGGGGGGTGTCTTCGGCCGGAGGGCCTTCTCATTCTTTTTCTTCTTTATGCCGGAGCGTAGAGGCTGCATGGCGAAAGACTCTTTGCTAGAAAGATCTAGAAGTTTGCCTCAAGAGTCACGGCCCTGGCAGCCTTCCAATCGTCAGTGGCTTCGAAGGCCTTCTACGTCCTCTCTTCGCAATTTTTGTCAGGTCGAGGCTTCAGGGCCGCGCAGAACCCTTTCAGGCGCCTCCCAGGAGCCTCGTATAGAGGCCTGCGAAGGCCACGACCCTTTCAGGCTTTCAGGCCCTGCCACAGGCCTCCCGAACGGCCTCCCAGGGCCTCATCAGGGGCAGGGCCGAGGGCCTCTGAGGAGCCGCAGGGGCCTCCTGACAGGCCAAAACGCCCCAAAACGCCGAAAAAGCAGTTTTTGAGCAATGGCCCAGGCTGAGCCCGAAAAAGGCCCCCTGGTCCAGCAAAGAAGGCCGCAATCGGCACAGGCTCCAGAGGGGCCCGGGAGGCCTCCAGGGGGGCTCCAGGCCAGGGTTGGGGCGGGCCCAGTCACAGCACTGAGCTGGGCAACTGTAGCTTGGCGACCCCTCAGTTTAGGGTTTAGGGTTTAGGGTTTAGGGTTTAGGGTTTAGGGTTTAGGGTTTAGGGGTTAGGGGTTAGGGGTTAGGGGTTAGGGGTTAGGGGGGTTAACAGCACGAGGTTGGCACCAGTTTGTAGCAGCCCACCCCAATGCCACCACGCGCTAGAGCATTTCAGGTTTAGGGTTTAGGGTTTAGGGCTTAGGCCGGTTTAGGGTCTCTCAAGTCTAACGGACATCCTCGGCGGGCACCGTGGCATCCGGGCACTAGAGAAGTTTCTCGGCTTTCTGTGACGCCATTTTTGCTGCAACCCTCAACCCTGAATCCAAAACCCTAAACCCTAAACCCTCGCGTGGCTCGGGGTTGCCCAAGTTGCACCTTTCACTTGGGAAGAGGGGCCTCACGAGTAGGGTTCGGGGTTCAGGGCGCAGGGCTAAGGGTCTCGGCACCCACCCCATCGCTCACACAAGGTGTCAATTGCGTAGCCTTTTGGCGGAGACAAGCGCCCCACAGAACATGGCGAGCAACAAAGAGGTTTGGGTTTAGGGCTTTGGGTCAGTTATTTAGTGAAGTTTAGTGGTTAGGGTTTAGGATTTTGGGTTAGGGTTTAGGGTTTAGGGTTTAGGGTTTAGGGTTTAGGGTTTAGGGTTTAGGGTTTAGGGTTTAGGGTTTAGGGTTTAGGGTTTAGGGTTTAGGGTTTAGGGTTTAGGGTTTAGGGTTTAGGGTTTAGGGTTTAGGGTTTAGGGTTTAGGGTTTAGGGTTTAGGGTTTAGGGTTTAGGGTTTAGGGTTTAGGGTTTAGGGTTTAGGGTTTAGGGTTTAGGGTTTAGGGTTTAGGGTTTAGGGTTTAGGGTTTGGGTTTTTTCGGGTTTAGGGTTTAAGGTATGGGTTTAAGGTTTGCCACTGGAGTCGAGGAGGGCACTGGCTGGGTCCTCCGGTCTGCACAGCTCGGGGGGTAAAGCCTACGCACCCTAAACCCGCAGCCCCAAACCCCAGACCCCAAACTCGAAGCCCCAAACCCCTAAACCCTAAACCCAAAAACCCTGAACCCCAAACCCCAAACCCTAAGCCTAAACCCAAACCCTAAGCCCAAACCTTCAAGCCAAAAGCCCTAAACACTAAACCAACCCTAAACCCCGATCTGGTGTTTCCGAAATTAGGGGTACCTTGTTGGGGTCCAGATTATAAGGGGATCTATAATAGGGGTCGCATATTTTCCTAAACCCTAAACCTAAAACCCTAAACCCCAAAACCCTAAACCCTAAACCTTAAACCCTAAACCCAAAAAAACCCAAACCCTAAACCCTAAACCCTAAACCCTAAACCCCAAACCCTAAACCCTAAACCCTAAACCCTAAACCCTAAACCCTGGATCTGGGAGCCCCCAGACCTTTGCGCTGAGGCCCCGCGCCGCCGACGTGCACTCGTCGAGGATGGCGAAGCGGGGGCGATGGTAGAGGACCTCGAGGGTTTGTGGGTTTAGGATTTAGCATTTGGGGCTTGGTGTTTAGTGTTTAGTGTTTAGGGTTTAGGGTTTACGAGGGTTTGTAGGGCTTTTGGTTTTTGTTTTTTTAATGGGGTGTAGGGTTTATAGGGTTTACAGGGCTTGCAAGTTCATGGGGGTTTGTAGGGGTTACAGGGTTGATACAGGGTTTACAGGGTTTACAGGGTTTACAGGGTTTACAGGGTTTACAGGGTTTACAGGGTTTACAGGGTTTACAGGGTTTACAGGGTTTACAGGGTTTACAGGGTTTACAGGGTTTACAGGGTTTACAGGGTTTACAGGGTTTACAGGGTTTACAGGGTTTACAGGGCTTATAGGCTTTTTAGGAGTGTTTAGGGTTTATATATAGGGGCTGTTAGGGCGTGTAAGGTTTAGGGCTTTCAGGGTTTATAGTTGCGTATGATATAACTACATCTATATCGAGGACCCTCTGAAGAAACATTCCTGAATATGATCCGTGTTAATCCCGAAAAAGGGAGAACGTGAAATATCCTAAGGGGCTACCTAGTTTATCTAAGGTTTATAGGGTTCAGGGTTTAGAGATAAGAGTTTTAGGGCTTAGGGGTATAGAGCGGCTTTTGGGGCAGGTGCTGGCCGCATTTTAGGCGTTTTGCATTTTGTTTTCTCCGGCTTCTTGTTCAAGCCTTCCGTTGTGTGCCTTAGGGCCCTTTATAGGTGGAGGATGTGAGTGACTTGGCCTTTCTGGTGCCTGTTCAATCTACCGACCGGACTTTGTCTGGTTTGTCTTTTGCTCCCAGCTTTTGGTGGCCTTTCTCGGGGTCATCGACGCGGATGCAGCGGCCCCCTGTTCTCCATCCAGTAAAAGACCACACTTGTGAAATCTTGTGAAGGTAGGCATCGTTCGTAGCGTGAAGCACAGCTGCCCTGTCAGCATTGCCCTGGCCCTGACTGACGAAAAGCGGCCAGCACGGGCCACACCATCAGCAGAAGCAGGCCCACCCTGTAGCAGCCTCAGCAGCCACCGCAACAGAATCATCGAGCCCGCAGCTTTCCACCCTGGTATGGGGCACCATTCAAAACAGGGCTTTGCAATGGGGTGTTCTTGTCACGGGGTTTTGGAGCATCCGCGCATGTTGGCCTCGGGGCAGGCTTGTGAAGCTGCGAGGCCTTTCCCAGCCTCCTGGGCCTTTTTTGGGGCTGGCTTTTTTGGGGCCTCCCGGTGCCCTTCTCGAGGGATTTCCAAGGGGCCTTGACGGCTTGTTTAGACAAAAAGCTTCTGTAACGGATGGGGCCTACTGGGTGGTCATGTAGGGTTTAGGGGCTCAGGGTTTAGGGTTTAGGGCTTAGGGCTTAGGGCTTAGGGCTTAGGGTTTAGGGCTTAGGTTTAGGGTTTAGGGTAATTCTTCTCTACCTTAGCTACGCCCCAACCCGAAAATGAGGCCCTGATTGGCACCGTCTGGCTAGGCACCAAGCCCGTGCGATTCCCAAACGCTGCTGCTCGCTCAACGACAGCCTGGCGAGGATTTACTTGAATGGTCGTGGGTAGTTACAAGCAGTACCCTTAATAGTGCGATAAACAGTTATACTTTTTGCTACCCTACTTATAACTAACAGTTGTACTTATAGCTACCCTACATATGACTACCCCTGAAGCCCCAAGTAGGTTTCTGGGTTTAGGGGTTAGCGGGCACAGTGGAGGCGACGCTACGTCGGATGTTCTCTGCATACTAGCGACGACCAAGAGTTTGCACAGTGAATCCGGAGTCCCCGCCCCTTCCCCCGGCCGTAAATCCGAAACCCTAAACCCTACAGGACCACTAAGGCCCAGGGTTCAGGGTTTAGAGTTCAGAGTTTGGGGTTCAGGGTTGTGGCATTGCCCACCCCCCCCCCCCCCCCCCCCCCCCCCCCCCCCCCCCCCCCCCCCTCCACCCCCCCCTCCCCCGGCTGTGCACCTGGCAGCCCAGTCAGCAACTTCCTCCAGGCCATCACTCTTCGCCTCAAAAAGTTTAAGATGTGTGCACGACACGCTGCGCCCTACACCCTAAACCCTCCCAAACCATACACAGGACCAGCCCTAAACCTTAATTACTTCTCAGGAGGGTACAGGATTTGGTTGTAGGGCGTAGCACACATCTTAGCGCACCGGTCGGGACGCCTCTAGGGGGAGGCCCTCTCCGTGGAAGCGTATGCTAGCGTCAAGCTGGCATCCCCGTAATCCCGAAGCCCCTAAACCCTCAACGCTTAGGACCCGGGCTTAGTCTACTTGAAGGTTCGTGGGTAGTTAAAGTAGGGTTACAAGTGCCCTAAATAGGGTTATAACTAGAACTACCCGACTTGTAGCCCTATATATAAAATGCTCATGAACCTCCAAGCAAAATTTTTAGCGCCCTGTAAACCCTATAAACCCTAAATCCTTTAAACCCTTATGACCCCTGTAAAGCCTATAAGCCCTTTGAGGGGTTAAGGTGCAGGCAGCACGGCAACTCGGCCGCCGACCGCAGCATCCACAAAATCGGCCATGCCGACGTAGCCCAGCCAGCGCCTGCAGCAACAAAAGGTTCATCGGAGGCAGCTGTCAGGGTCAATCAAAAGCCAAACCCTAAACCCTAAACCCTCAAAAAACCTTACATACCCTTAACTAAGCCATTGCTGAGCCTTATTCTGAGTGGCCACTTTTGTTCCTGCAACAAAGAAGCAAGGGCCTGGGCCGAGGCTTTTCGGCTTTAGGATTTCGGACTTAAGGCTGTGGGCTTGCAGAGCAAGCCAACACCATGTACACTACCCTGTATTTAATCAGGTCCCCATAGCCCTAAACCCGAAGCACTAGACCCTGAGCCCTGAACTCTAGCAGGCTCAAGTCACCCCTGAGTCTCTATATCAAGTAGGGCTTCTACCACGAGTGTCCCAAAAGGACACTCACCAATATTTACAAGGAACCCCATCGAATAAACGACAAACAAATAAAGAAGGCAGCTACCAATCTGAACGTCCCGTAAAGGTGGGGAATTAATTACTCTTAGACTGGGATTTTATCCATGGTCAGGGTTCCTGAAACTAATTCGAGGTATCTGAGGTCAAGTATGGCTTAGGCTTATTATACCGCTATCGGCGAGTGTATACGCGGCACCTTACAAATATTGCGGGGGATACTAGAAACTAGAGTCCCGTACTCCGTAACGTCTCAGGTATACTCCACCCCAACCCTCAAACCCCAAACCCTTCCTTATATAGTGTCGTGTGTAGGGTTCAGGGCTTAGGATTCAGAATTTGGGGTTCAGGGTTTAGGGGTTCAGGGTTCGTGGGTTTCTTGGGGCTTCCCCGGTTACAAAGCAGGTTACCGGGCTTTCCGGGCGAGTTTTCCTGGGTAGGGACTCAGACGCTTCAAGCATGGGCACACGTATGCGCAGGGCTGGCGAGCGCAGATCCGAATGTGAGCCGGGCAGTTGCCAAAGGCTGCCGCCCCACATTCTCAGCCGGAGGTCCCCAGAGGCTTCGATCAGCTGCTCTGCTTCTTGGCCCCAAGTTGCGTCCTAGGGGGGCATCTGCACAAACAACGTCTGTTTCACAGAGGTGCGGGAAATGAGGGAGGTCCATGTAAGACCTCGCACAAACGCATGCAAGCTGCGGCTTGCCCGCTGCAAGCACTTGAGAGGTCAGAGCAAAGAGCTCCACCCAACGGAAAAGAATGCCCCGGCATCAGGCAGACCCAAAATCTGACAACACCACAGCGAAGTCCTCCTTCCTCGTTCAGTTTCAGGGCACAGGGTCTAGGGTTGAGAGTTGAGGGTGGAGGCTTTCGGGTTGAGGCTTAGGGTGGAATGGTTATCACCGGATAAAGAGGGCCGCCCGTGGCGGCCCTCTAGCCCCAAGGCTGATGCAGTGACCTAAAGCACGCCGGCGGTGGGCTCTCCCCGCGCCCCGCACCGCGCTGCTAATTGGGCGTCCTCCTGCAGCCGGATGCCAAACCGTCACGAAACCGTAAACTGTAAACCCTAAACCGTAAAACCCTAAACCCTAAACCCAGAATCCCCGGGGGGGGCTGAGAAGGGCTTAGGGTTTAGGGTCAGGGTCGGGCGTAAGGGGTGCAGAGGCCACTTGCTTCATAACAAGGACCCCTTTGCATGGTTTCAGGTATAGGTTTAGGGTTTAGGGTTTAGGGTTTAGGGTTTAGGGTTTAGGGTTTAGGGTTTAGGGTTTAGGGTTTAGGGTTTAGGGTTTAGGGTTTAGGGGTAGGGTTTAGGGTTTAGGGTTTAGGGTTTAGGGTTTAGGGTTTAGGGTTTAGGGTTTAGGGTTTAGGGTTTAGGGTTTAGGGTTTAGGGTTTAGGGTTTAGGGTTTAGGGTTTAGGGTTTAGGGTTTAGGGTTTAGGGTAGGAAGAGTATGAAACTCCGTGATATGCCTACTGCTAGCGGGTCTGGGGTTGTTTAGGGTTTGGGACAGTACCCTCAACCCTGGATCGCCTAGATCGGTCAGGGTTTAAGGTCCAAGGGTTTGAGGCTTAGAGTGCTTCATGTCGTTTGGCATCCAGAAGCTGAGGAGAAACTGCCAGACGGTGACCCCCAGTGCAGCGGCCGGCAGTGGAGTCCGACCTCACGATGGCAACACTTTAGGGTTTAGTGTTTAGGGTTTAGGGTTTGGGGTTTAGGGTTTAGGGTTTATCCCGCGATGTGGCAAGTAGGGTTCGCTATAAGTAAGCTACAAGCAGGGTTGTAAGTAGGAGAACTCGAGTCATGACCTTGTTAAGGGAACTTGAAACTCTACTTCTAACCCATGAACCTCGGAGTCGGGGTTTGGGGGGATGGCGAGGGTTGGGTCTGGGATGATCTAGGATTGACGGCTTAGGTGCTTGGGATGGCGTAGGGATACCGAGCCTTCTATTTATCTACATACATACATATGGGTTTAGGGCAGGGAGGGGTGGGACCATTGGGGGGGGGGGGGGGGGGGGGCGATCCGAGAACCGGGAGTTTTCTGTGCTGGGGTTCAAGCTTTGATACGCGGTCTTCGCGAGCCGTGAAAAAGCAAAATTATGCATGATGAGATTGCGCTGTGGACTTGCAGAATACGCCAAAAATCAGCAAAGCCTGTGCTTGTGTGAACCCAAAACCCTAAACTTTCCAAACGCCAGGGTTTTGGGACCTAGTTTGGGGTAGGGTTGCAGGCCCGAAGCCCTTAACCTTGAAGGCGCTCGGCTCTTTTGGCAGAAAGGGGTGCCTTGCAGAAAACTGACCCCGACGGTGCCGGCTGCGCACCTTGCGCAAAAAGGCCAGGCTTCGGGGCTTCGGCATTTAGGGGCATCGTGGGTGTCCCTAAACCCCTAAACCCCTAAACCCCTAAACCCCTAAGCCTCTAAACCCCTTAAACCCCTGAACTCCTAAACCCCTAAACGCCTACACCCCTAATTAAGCCCCTAAACTACACTCACTCCCAAGGGTGGAAGCCCTAGTTGTGCGCAAACCACCAGGTTTAGGGTTGGGCTTCAAGGGTTTGAGGGTTTATACGTTTAGCTGTTGGGGGCTTGAGGGGCTTTGGGGATGCTAGGGGCTTCGGGTTTGGGGTTTAGGGTTTAGGGTTTAGGGTTTAGGGTTTAGGGTTTAGGGTTTAGGGTTTAGGGTTTAGGGTTTAGGGTTTAGGGTTTAGGGTTTTTCCGGAGTTTTCGGCGGGGTTTGGGTGTTGGCTACTTGAAGGTTCATGGGTTGCGGGCACGTGGGGCGAGAAGTACCTTACATCCTACGTGCACATCCTAGCTTGCCCTAAGCTGGCGTTCAAGGCCGCAGTAAGCGAAGACCCTAAACCCTAAACCCTAAACCCTAAACCCTAAACCCTAAACCCTAAACCGTGAAGAGCAACTCTGGGCTCTGACTCACATCGGCGAAGGGATAGGTAGGGAACCTTAGGGACCCTGGACCCCCCCCACCCTCAAGCCGAAATCCTAGGGGTTTTAAGGGTTTAGGGCAGACCCTGCAGTGCTCATCCCCCAAGAGCCCCCATAAACCAAAAAACCCTGAACCCTAAACCCTAAACCCTAAACCCTAAACCCTGAACCCTAAACCCTAAACCCTAAACCCTAAACCATCTGCCCCAAAACGGCCTTAGGCACTGCAGCCCACGCAAGCATACTTCGGGGCCGCATCTTTCAGGCGGCGGATGGCCTCCTGGCGAGGGGTCTTCTAGGGTTTTAGGGTTTTAGGGTTTAGGGTTTAGGGTTTAGGGTTTAGGGTTTAGGGTTTGGGGTTTGGGGTTTGGGGTTCAGGGTAAAGATTATAGTATTTGGGGGTCTATTTAGGGGTCCCCTATTTTTGTAAACCCCCTCCTGGCGAGGGGCTTCAGGGTTCGAGGGTTCGAGGGTTGTAGGGCCTTTGGTTTGAGGGTTTGAGGGTTTGAGGGTTTGAGGGTTTGAGGGTTTGAGGGTTTGAGGGTTTGAGGGTTTGAGGGTTTGAGGGTTTGAGGGTTTGAGGGTTTGAGGGTTTGAGGGTTTGAGGGTTTGAGGGTTTGAGGGTTTGAGGGTTGGAGGGTTTGAGGGTTTGAGGGTTTGAGGGTTTGAGGGTTTGAGGGTTTGAGGGTTTGAGGGTTTGAGGGTTTGAGGGTTTGAGGGTTTGAGGGTTTGAGGGTTTGAGGGTTTGAGGGGTTGAGGGGTTGAGGGGTCTTGAGGGTTTGAGGGTTTGAGGGTTTGAGGGTTCGAGGGTTCGAGGGTTCGAGGGTTCGAGGGTTCGAGGGTTCGAGGGTTCGAGGGTTGGAGGGTTCGAGGGTTCGAGGGTTCGAGGGTTCGAGGGTTCGAGGGTTCGAGGGTTCGAGGGTTCGAGGGTTCGAGGGTTCGAGGGTTCGAGGGCTTAGGGATTTTCGGGGCCTTAAAGTATACCATACAGGGGTCCTTACTACAATTTGCATTTGTAGTCCACACTTGAGGGTCCATTGCTTGGACTAAGCACTAAGCCCCAAAACCCGAACCCTAAACCCTAAAACCCGAAACCCTAAAGCACGAAAACCCGAATAGCCCTGACCTCTAAACCCTCAAACCTATCATCCTAGAACGCACACAAAAGCCTGATTCCTAAAACTGTAAGACCCTTTAACAAATCAAGCTCTGCGCCTGAAACCTAGAGCACTTAAACCTAAAACCTCCAATCCTACAACGCTAAAACCCTAAAACCCCCGAACTCTAACCCTAAAACCGCAAAGCCCAAAAACAACGAACTCTAACCCCCCCTCCACCCCAAAAAATGAAAAATAAAAACTAAACTCTAAAGCCCCAAAACTCCTGCTCTTGGTCTGTGTCCGTCTTGGACGCATACCCGTCTGAGGCGCAGGTCTCGCTGCTGCTTGCGACTTCTTTCGGCTTGCCACCTGCCGCTCTGGGGACGTAGGCTGCTTTAGGGTTTAGGGTTTAGGGTTTAGGGTTTAGGGTTTAGGGTTTAGGGTTTAGGGTTTAGGGTTTAGGGTTTAGGGTTTAGGGTTTAGGGTTTAGGGTTTAGGTACTCCAAGGAGAACCTGAATCCCGGAAAAGTCCATGTACCTGTAGAGTATATATCTGGGTCCTAAAGCTA